GTATATCTGCTGCTTAAGCTTCATTATAGGTGGTGGTGATGGTGACACCGATGACTGCTGGTCAACGCTCAGTGTTCCTTCATCGCTTCATTGAGTTGCGTTTTGTTTAGTGCGCACCGCCAACGGCAGCGGTTGTCCCCATAACGACGAACGCGGCGCGAAAAGTGAAAAACAAGCGTGAGAATATAATATCAAGCTACATATTTAAAAATCTATCAAACTAAGGAAAAGCCAAACGCAAAAACCAATCGTTTGCGGAAAAGTGTGCATGGTTGTGTGTAATAACGGCAATTTTTGGTGCTAATCGCGTTCGAATTGTTCGACCGTAAAGCTTATTAAATTTCACTGGATTGTTGTAATGCTTCCGGACATTGCTAAATGCTTATTTTATGGATTTTGTGTCAGCCATTGAAGAAAATCGTGAAATAAATAGGATTATACAGTTACATAAAGATAATTTTCTATTGTGTAAAAGGTAAAGTGGATTCAAACAAAAAAAAAATTAATCCCATAACAACTCAGCGTTTCTGTTTCCGCAGTAATAAGATTAACGATTCTATAAAATCTTTCTAAAAACATGACGTGTAAACTTAAACCAAAACAAAGAAGTTGAGTTTATCAATACTCAAAGGCCGATTTTAGCTACAACTTTAACGTCCGAATGCGTTTTTGGTCTCGTTTAGTATTGCTTTAAAGTTTACCAAGAAGCCACCTTCATAATTTACTTAGCGGCAGAATTGCCGTCTTTCTTACATAATAGGATTAATTTAGAAATAATAAAATGTCTAACATTTTAAATAACAGCCCCAAATTAAGATTTTATCTCCGACGCGCAGAACGAATTGTTTTTGGCATATACCGCCGACAGTCAAAAGTTAAGTTCACAGTTAAGACGTGCAGGTATAACTTCACTCTCAACGAGTAATCTCTGCGAAATAGTAAGGCAGTAGCTGAAAGCGTAGCTCCCGTAAACTCCTGGTTTAGGCGGAGCCATTTTTCTAAGCACAACCACTGAAAAATCTTTGCTCTAAAAATACGTCCGCCAACCGCTGCAACCTGCTGCGCCTGTTTGGTCGCCGGGGAGTTGGACGCAGTGGACGAAGCTACAGACTTGTTAGAACGCCTCACTCCGGAAGCAACAGGATACTTTCTGCTGTCGCCTGAGCGTCAACTACACAGCGAAGCCGTAAGGGAGCATAACAAAATGCTGAGCAAGCAGTTTCTGGTGGGAAGTCACAGACGTGAGCATTCCAACAGAACCTTGCTCGAGGAGAAGCCCCCGCCCAGTCACATCAGAAGCTGATCAGAGCTCAATCTCCACCTATAGCAGAGACGGAGCTTCAACCGTCAAGAGAGACCCGCGTTACTCTGGCCCAGTTACGGTCCGGATATTTATAGCCACCCCAACATCCCCGGCATATGAAGACCCCTACGACACCAACCATCTCTTCACATACCAGCTCAATCCCACTCAGCTAACAGCCCTCTCCCTTTGGGCCGACTCCATCGAAACAGCTCGTTTCTTAGGTCTACCGTTTCTTGAGCTTGAATACAA